TCTCCTCCCGGCCCATGGGTTTCAATACCACCCATCTGCTAATCAATCCCAAAGATATCTATCTTCGTGAAGAACTATCAAGAGAGGTCTAGTCTTAAGTCTCCAACTGCCGACTTGCCCCCTTCAACCTGTACATCTCCCAACTCTCCCTTCCCAGTCAGCGACTCAAGGCCAAAGTCCAAAAGTTGTTCTGAAGTGTCCCCTTTCCTTCATGTCTCACACCCAAACCATTAACACATCTTGTCACCTCTGCCTTATGAACAGATCTCCAATCCACCATATTCCTCAACCTTCACAACTCCCGCTCTCATTCAAGCCACCATCGATTCTACCCTGAATTCTTTGATAGCTTCCAACCTCCACTGGTCACCTTATGGTTCATTTTCCACGTGGCAGCCAGAGTGATTTTGAGAAAACATACATCTGATTATGTTATCCCTGTGCCTAAATCCTTCAGCCATTTTTCATGGCACTTAGACTCGACTCCAAACTCCCTATCATAGCCCATAGATTGGGCGCAGTCTACTGCCTGCCTCCCTCCCAGCTCTTCCAGTGCCATCGTCTCCCCGTCCCGGTGCTTCCCCCACACTGGCTTCCTTCCCTTGATTTGATACACCAAGTTCACTCCTAGCTTCAGGCCTCGCATTTGCTGTTCACTTTGTCTGGCACATTTTGCTCTCATAGCTTCACATGACTGACTCTGTCTTGTCATTCAGGGCTCCGCTCAAATGTCAACTCAATTCAAACGATCATCCATTCTAAAATAGCCTGAACAGGCATAATTACATTGCTCTGTTTAATTTTATTTATAGCATTTGTCACTCTGAAATTCTCGTTTATTCGTGTACTAGGTTTTTGTTTGTTTTGCACCCCCACATCTACACACACACACACACACACACACACACACACACACACACACGTAATGTCTGTGACAGCAGGGATCTTGCCTGTCTTGCTGACTCCTGGCACTTAGTAGAAGTATTTGGTGAAATATAAGTGAAAATAAAAGGATGTCCATAACATCTATCATGCAGGAAGAGCAAACACTGGGACAGGAAACCCTCACAAGGAGGGGTGCTTTGATGAGGGGTGTGAGGGAAGAAACTCTTTTCTCTGATTGGGGACCTTAGGGCTGTGGCTTGGATTTGAAGACACGGATCCTAAGGCTTAAGCCTCTTAGTCCCAGAGTAGGGGCAGTCTGGCTGGGTCACATGTAGGGAGGCTGAGGGAAGTCTGGCTCTCTCACATGTAGGGAGGCTGAGGGCAGTGTGGCTGGGTCACATGTAGGGAGGCTGAGGGCAGTCTGGCTGGGTCACATGTAGGGAGGCTGAGGGAAGTCTGGCTCTCTCACATGTAGGCCAGCTGTAGAAAGCGGCTTGCTTCTGCATCTTGCAGCAGGCCCGGAGCCTCACAGAGGCAGCCATGGCTCGAAGCAGGAGGCCCCTCCAGGGAGGCCTGTGAGGGTGGACCTGGGCGTGTGAGCTCTAGTCACAGTTGGAAGTCATTGCTGTGGGTAACTTCCTGCCATCCTCCCGCTCATAAGGTTTTCAGAGAAGCTTTATCCAAAGTCACAGCTTCGTCTTAACTGTTCTGTGTGGCATTTATGGGGGTGTCTTTGCGACTTTGAGGGGGCTGGTAAAGGAGAGGCAGTGTGTCTCCAGCAGCTGCAGGCTGAGGAATTCTGCAGTCCTGACCTGTCGAAGGCAGCTGACGAGGGCCTGAGCGGTGGGCCAGGGCTGAAAGATTTGAGACGCAGAGGCACTCAGGCTGACAGGCGAGTCACCATCACCCCTGGGAGGAACATCAGAAAGGCTGATGAGGGCTGCCTTTCATGTGGGTGGTGATTCAGGGTAGCCGACTGTGGGCCAATGATGGAAACGCAACCTCATCTGTGCCCGCAGGCTGGTGAAGCCTGGGGTGTATGTGCGACATTAACCAGACTCCCCTCACGGTGCATACGGAGGTGGGAGTTAGACGTGGGGGGGGGGTGACTGCTGCTTAGGGAGCGTCGCTGAGAGTGCAAAGGTGGCAGGGCTTCCTCACATCACCAAGCAGGACAATTCAGGAGGCAACGAGAACATGGCCATTTAGAGTCTGGTTCTGGTGTGACCTCCTGGCTTCAAACCCCACTTCCGTCATTTGCACTGCAGGCCCGGGAAGTTACTTAGCCTTCTTACGCCCCATGGGGCTTAGTGGTACCTACCAAGTAGGGCTGATGTGAGCATTACATGAGATGATTCGCAGAGAGCACTCAGCCCAGTGCTGGGCCGGTAGGAAGCATTAACACATGCGAGCCACCCTCCTCTGATCTATGATTTAGTGCCTTGCGGGGACTATCAAGGAGAATTCAACAGACTGTGAAGGGAGTTTTTCCACAGTGACCTGGTGGCACGTCAGAGCTCATCTATGGACCTGGAGGACACCGCACGTGATTTCATATTCAGGGCAGACGTTACCTGAATCACACCGTTGGTTCGCACAGGCTCCGCCCACCGCAGGAACAAGGCCCGGCCGCCCTCCTTCTGTTCTACCGTAAAGTTGCTCAGCCCACTTGGAGACGATTCTAGGGTTTGCACAAGAGTCCAGGGGCTGGAAACTTCTCCTGCCTGGTTTGTGGCCACAACACCAATGTGATACGTTGTGAATGGTTCTAACCCGAAGAGGTGGGCCTCCTGCCTTGTTCCCTGAAAGAAAATTCACATGTCAGTTTTCCCTTAGAAACTGCTACCTACCAACTGCTGGAAAGCCATTCGCAGAGCTACATCAGCAATGGCAGCTCAGCTGTCACAGGAGTTTTCATTATTAAGAAAAAGGCGTGGTTTTTTTCTTGTTCTTGATGCCCTGGACATATTATCTAGTGCTGTGAGATTTCAGAAACACACACCAAGTGTGGATCAGATAGGGTCCTTGCCTCTTCAGACTCTGCAGCCTAAAGGGTGTGAGATATAACGTAAAAAATTAAAAAATGGATGATGCCTCAGAGGTCAGGGCCACCTCTGGTTCGTGATGGAAATCGGTAGAGATTTAACCTGTACAAACCTAATTCTCTTTCATTGATTCACCACGCTATTTGTTTATATGCACATAAGTGTCTCCCCATCTCCCTCTCCCATTCTCTTGGCATCTATTTATATCTTACAAATGCAATGAAACAAACACAAGAAAACAATAACAACAAACCAACTGTGCTATAAATGCACCAGCACCCTTAGAGGAATCTGCTATTAATACAAATGTGAAAATAGTGTGATTTGTCACAAACGCCGTAACAAAAAGTATGACACTCGCCAAAAGTAACTGTTAGCTAGGCTTTGGGAATTTGGTCTTTGTTGATTTAAAAGAAAAAAAGAAATGGCAAAATTAGTTTTTTGGTTTTTCTTTTCTGCTTGGAGAAAAACATTTAACATATTTTTCACAGAATCCTAATGTTTTGAAAGAACCCAGGTGCTCTTTCCACATCTGGGCTGAATGGATATGCCTGTTTACAGATAAGGATGATGTCTGTAAGCGAATCAGAAATGTGTGTACAGGTACATACATACATACACATACACACACACACACACGCGCGTGCGCGCACACTGATACTTTCTGTTGTGTATGATACCCATTGAATGTGAACGATTATAAGGAAGTTTTGATTACTTTAATATAATATTTATGCTCAATGGTGTNCTCTCCTGCATGCATCTTCAGACAGGACTGTGCGGGGGCAGTGTTGGTCTGTCGGAAGGCATCAGGGCGCCATGCCATGTGGGCTCCCACAGCACCAGCCCTCAGATCAGACCCACACGCGAGTGAGTCACAGGGCTCTGAGGCTGACCTGTCTCTTCTCAGCCACCCAGTCACGAGGCACCAGATGCCTATAGAGACCCTGAGTGTGCATGCGCGCTTATCGCAAAAATCTGTCAAAGTGGGGAAGTTTCAGGAAAACTAATTAAGTCACTGACAGCATGATTCAGTGAAAGGGGGAGTCATGGCAGGCCCCCAGCAAATCCGTGGTGACTCACTGCCTTAAGCAAGAGTATGACTATGAATGCACGGTTACTGAGAGCAGCTCATTGGCCCCCGCTCACTGCCCTCAGGGAGAAACCAAAGCTTCTTAGGGAGTGGACTCACACCCAGGCCTTGCTCTGAAGTCCGGGGAGGGGCTGTCGTCTTATTTTGCTTGCTGGACAATTAAGAACATCCCCACATAGAACCTGGAGGCACACACTGTATATATTGGTACAGCCCAATTTTGAAAGGGTTGTTGATAAAAATGAGTGTCTGTGAAAAAAATCATGCTGGATTAGCAAATATTCTGTGACAGGGCCATGTAGGAAGATGGTGGGGAGCAACATCTGACACCCACAAAGCAGCGTAGTGATGGCTGACTGACCCAACTGCTGGCCATCGCCACCCTTCTGAGTAACAGGTCCACACCGTCAGGCAGATTCTCAGCCCTTCGTTTTTATTCCCTGCATATCTATGGGTTACCACAGAAATGCTGTCCTCTACGGTAGAGTCAAATCACTGGGGTGAAACAACCTATCCAGGACAAGGAAGGTGTTTTCTGAAAGGCAACTTGAAGAAGAAGTGACCCTCAGATGGATTTGCGAGCAATGCAAATTCATCTCAGACAAAATGCCCTTTTGTTAAAGGGAAATCAATTCTTTGAGTGCATTACTACCTAAATGACTTCTGTGAGATTGCTCAGGGTCCATG